CCCCTCTCCTGGCACGCATGTGCCCCTTGCACAGGCGTTCACCAGCAGTATCTAGTAGGGCCAGGCATGTGCCCTGCATGCCCTCGCTCTTCCTCTCCAAAGGGCAGAAAGGGTGTGGTCACCCCAACAGCCACTCAGTTGCTTTGCTGCCCAAAATCCAGATGAAAGCGTCCAAGCTGTGGGTAAGGAGGGCAGGCCGTGGGCAATGCATGTACAGAACATCTCAAAGCATCGCAGTTACTGGGAGATGGGTGTCTGTACAAGTGGTTCTCACTAAATAAAAATAAATTAATGGAGATATCCTATCTCCTAGAACTGGAAGGGACCTTGAAAGGTCATCGAGTCCAGCCCCCTGCCTTCACTAGCAGGACCAAGTACTGATTTTGCCCCAGATCCCTAAGTGGCCCCCTCAAGGATTGAACTCACAACCCTGGGTTTAGCAGGCCAATGCTCAAACCACTGAGCTATCCCTCCCCCCCGGAGCAGACTGAACAGGTTCCAAAACCTCCCGGAGACTCTTACCTTCTAAACAGGGACGTCTGTTTTCTAGTAAAATCAGTAAAAGGAAAGGAGAAAACTCGAAAGAGGCTCCTCCTCGCACTCACATACGTGTACCCTAATACTCTCTCAGTCCTCAAAGAGAGACCTTGAGACAGAGACTTGCTGAAGCAAAGCCACAGGGGTCTCTGAGGTTTCCCTGGCCCTGCGCCCCTGTCCTGCCTGGCTGATGTCAGCATCTCTCTGTGAGGTCACCACCTCCCCACCACCTTTGACCAATAGGCTGAGGTCCTGCAAAAGGCCTTTGTGATGTCACTGCCACACCCACCCATCCCCTGAAGTGCTAATGTCCTGCTGCTGGCCTGACACTTTGAAGGTTTGAGCTACTCTCTGCAGATCACCCCACTCAATGCCTGTTCATTCTAGGAAGCAAGCCGGCTAGACAGTAAAACATCAGAGGCTGCTCCCAATGCTACAGTCAGTTTTAACAAAATTAGTAGACTTTATGGCCAGAAGAGACCTTTAGAGCATCTCATCTAACCCCCTGCATATCATGGGCTTCCTGTATAGCACAACAGTTACTTTTTGGGCACACATATTCCAGAAAGGCATCTAGTCTTCATTCAATGACATCAAGAGATGGAGAATCCACCACTTTCCCTTTAGTGAGTGCCAGGGGGCTCCATTTCCCCTTCCTAGCAGTTAACTCCTCAAGGGAGTGGGAGCTAGGCGCTCACCTGAGCCACGGCTGCAGTACTGCCCAGCCAAACTGAGCCTCTGACCTGGAAGCTGACACCAACCAGAAGAGGTGAGTAAACTTATGAACACAGCTCCTTGCAGCTGCCCTGCAGACTAAAGCTACTGGGACGCTATTGAAACATGCTGCTGAGCTCTGATAGAATGAGATCTAATACACGATATCGGAGTCAATTTCTTCATGTTCTAGGGTGTTCTAACACGGTCCGACATCCACTTTGACTGTCTTTGTGATGACACAGATCTTCCTTTGGATCTACTACCAAATGCCACAAACAGCATTGTGATCTGTCCTGTGCAGGTAATGAGACTCTCTTGCTGTCCAAGGTGTGGCACCTTGCCTCTCCTGGAAATGAGTGAGGCTTCAGAAGAATACTGGTAAATGTATATACTGATTGATATGAAAATCGGAGATGACCTTGCGGTGAGTACTAGGTTCCCACAAAGGGAAATTGTTTCCCAACAGAAGAAAAACTTGAGGCAGACTTTTAAAAAACCTCCTAACAGCATAATCGGGAAAAATACAAGCCATTTTGGACTGGTGGATGATAGGCAGATATTGTTGCAAATTGAAATTTACTTGTATTAACTGACAGGCCTGCCTATTTCAACTATGACAAATGTTTAATATAACTGAAATTGTGGTTTACAATTGACTAAATCCACACTGAGATGCACACAAAGAAAAACGCTTCCATTTTGCACTACATGTACATCTAGTGAAAGGTTTTCTACTCTGAAGCAGAATAACTTGAACCTCTTTTGAGCAACTTTCATCAACTGAAGTTATCCAGGGACATCCACGCCTTAAGTGTAGGGGTGAAGGATCTGGGTGCAGGATTTGACCGTGATTTTGAGAGATTATGTCCATCAAAGGTGGAAGAGTTATGACGAGATTATTTAAGAGATGCACAAGGTGTGAATACCAAAACTGATGTTCAGTCATGCAGGAGCTATGAGGATCAGCCGTACCTGGGCCTGCCTCACCTTCCAAAGACCCCTTGGTATTAAAAGAAATGATGGGAATGCATACGTCAGGTGAATTGGATCATTGGATCAGAAAAGCATCTGAAAAGGAGCGTAGACTTACTCCTCCTTGACAGTAAAAGTTAGGACACATTATGTTTTCCTGGGCCGCAAACATCTCCTGGAGGAACTCCGCATGTCTGAAAAAATTGAGACAATACTGAGTACTTCAGAGACCACTTGTGACAAAGATGGGTGGCTTTTCTCCACCTTCGCGATGAGTGGCCCTTCCCCAATGTGTACCCCACATACAGAGTTTCATCTCTTCCTATCTGGCACTGAGTGGGGTTTGTCGTCAGCCCAGGATCTTCTAGGGACTGGAGAACAACCACTACAAGCTTTAGGTGATCCTCCCAATCCCGCCTACAAATAGCCACATCACCCAAGTATGCTGCGACACACCAGCCATGGGGGTCGAGGACCCAGTCCATTAACCATTGAAAAGTGGCGGGTGCTCCATGGAGGCCAAATGGCGCAGAACTGAGAGAGCCCGTAAGCAGTGATGAAGGCAGTCTTTTCATGGCACCCAGGTATAAGAGGAATTTGCTAATATCCCTTTGTGAGGTCAGATGTGGTAATATATTGGGCTTCACCCCAGCTGATCTTGGGATATACATACAACTTAGAAATGGCATTTATTTTTCTAAAATCAACACAAAATCAGGTGGTGCCGTCCAGATTGGGGACCAAGACAATATGGCTCCTCCAGTCACTATGGGATTCATCTATAACCCCAGGCCCCAACATAGTTTGGAGTTCCTGCCGTACCGCTTCACACATCTCTGGGGCATAGGATGAGGCGCTTCTCTGACTCGGTGCTCCAGCTCTGTCTGGATACAGTGGCAAGCTAAGTGAGTTTGCACTGACAGGCCGAAAATACTGTTGGGAAGGGGGCCACCGGGTGCTGCACCTGGGTGCTTTACCCTGGTGGGAGTTTTCCTCTGACCTGAACAGAGCCTGGGGCTTTGTCACAGGGCACCTAGGGTCCCCGCTCTGCCTCACGAGGTCAGGAGGCTATGAAGAAAACCTCTTGTACTTTTCAGGGTTTGAAAAGATTTACATGGTAGATCAATTTAATTTTCCTTGCATCAGGCTGCATAATTTCATAATTAACTGGCCCTACCCGTCTTATTACCTCATAGGGTTGCTGTCAATGGGCCGAAAGTTTGGACTCCATACTGGGGAGCAATAAGAATACACAGTCTCTGGGCTTAACCACCTGGAGGTCTGAGTATAAGGGGATTCTGGAGGTCCTGTAAACATTTGCAATATGTGCCTGAAATTCTCCCACTCCCTACGCAGCATGACTGAGTATGCGAGGCTGAAGGCTTTTCAACACTGGCCACTGATTCTGTGTGTGTGTGCCCAGCATGAGACAGGTGAGGCTTCAGTTTCAGAGGTACTGAGCATCCGCAGCTCCCACTGACTTTAACTGGAGCTGTAGGCGCTCAGCGTCCGAAAGGCAGGACCAAGATACCTCAAATTAGGTACAAAAACCTGAGGGTCCCATGGGGGCAGCACAGGATCACTCTATCTAATCGAGGCAGCTACCAGTGGTTACCGATCTTAAGAACATAAGAACAGCTATATTGGGTCAGAGCAAAGGTCCATCTAGTCCAGTATCCTGTCTTCCAGCAGTAGCCAATACCAGGTGCCCCAGAGGGAATGAACAAAATAGGTAATCATCAAGTGAACCATCCCCATCACCCATTCCCACCTTCTGGCAAACAGAAGCTAGGGACACCACCCCTGCCCATCCTGGCTGATAGCCATTGATGGACCTATCCTCCATGAATTTATCAAGTTCTTTTTTGAACCCTGTTACAGTCTTGGCCTTCATAACATCCTCTGGCAAAGAGTTCCACAGATTGATTGTGCGTTGTATAAAGAAATACTTCCTTATGTTTAACACCTGCTGCCTATTAATTTCATTTGGTGACCCCTTGTTCTTCTGTTATGAGAAGGAGTAAATAACACTTCCTTATTTACTTTCTCCACACCAGTCATGATTTTATAGACGTCTATCATATCCCCCCTTAGTTGTCTCTTTTCCAAGCTGAAAAGTCCCAATCTTATTAATCTCCCATACGGAGCTGTTCCATACCCTTAATCATGTTTGTTGCCCTATTATGAACCTTTTCCAATTCCAATATATCTTTTTTGAGACGGGGCGACCACATCTGCACACAGTATTCAAGATGCGAGTGTACCATGGATTTATATAAAGGCAATATATTTTCTGTCTTATGATCTATCCCTCTCTTAATGATTCCCAACATTATATTAGCTTTTTTGACGCCGCTGCCCACTGAGTGGATGATTTCAGAGAACTATCCACAATGACGCCAAGATCTCTTTCTTGAGTGGTAACAGCTAATTTAGACCCTATTATTTTATATGCATAGTTGGGATTATGTTTTCCAATGTGCATTACTTGGCATTTATCAACATTGAATTTCATCTGCCATTTTGTTGCCCAGTCACCCAGTTTTGTGAGATCCCTTTGTAACTCTTTGCAGTCTGCTTTGGACTTAACTATCTTGAGTAGTTTTGTATCATCTGCAAATTTTGCCACCTCACTGTTTACCCCTTTCACCAGATCGTTTATGAATATGTTGAATAGTACTGGTAGGTAAATGTTTTTCTTCTTCGAGTGCTTGCTCATGTGGATTCCATGTTAGGTAACTCACAAGTGGTATTCGCGGAAGTGGGCTCAGAGTTCACGGATGTGCTGTTTGCAACACTGCTCTGCCGAAGCTGGCATCATCCTGGGCCTGCTGGGTGATGGCGCAGTGGGATGAGAAGGTATGGAACGAAGACCAGGTAGCGGTCCCGCAGATGTCTTGGAACAGTACCTGCACAAGGAAGGCCGCTGATGAAGCTTGCGCTCTGGTGGAATGGGCAGTCATGATAGTTGGTAGTGACACCTTTGCTTGCTCGTAGGAGAACTTTATGATGGTGGTGATCCACGAGGAGATTCTCTGAGTGGACATGGGCAGATCTTTCATCGTGTCCACCACTGTGACGAAGAGCTGCATTGATTTACGGAAGGGTTTGGTCCTCTTGATGTAAAAGGCTATGGCCCGCCTAACATCCAAAGAGTGCAACCAACGCTCCTTGTTAGACTTGTGAGGCTTCGGAAAAAAGACCAGTAGGAAGATGTCCTGATTATAGTGGAACTACAATACCACCTTTGGTAAGAAAGCTGGGTGGGGGCATAGCAGAACTTTGTCATTGTAGAACACCATATAAGGCAGTTCAGACATCAAAGCTCTAATCTCGGAGACCCCGCATGCCGAAGTGATAGTCACCAGGAAGGAGACCTTCCATGAGAGGATCAGTAGAGAACAAGAAGCCAGTGGCTTGAAGGGGGGATTCATGAGCCTTGACAGCACCAGGGTTTAGGTCCCAAGGAGGGATCAGGTCATGAATCTGCGGGTATAGCCTTTCTAGTCCTTTCAGGAACCTGATCGTCATGTCATGAGAGAAGACTGATCTACTGGGACTGACGGAGGCTGAAAGGCTGAGATGGCCTCCAAGTGAACCTTGATTGATGAAAGGGCCAGGCCTTGGTGCTTGAGATGGAGTAGGTAGTCCAAGATGGATTGAAGAGACGACCTTGAGGGAGAAAGCCTCTGGCTCGAGGTCCAACAGGTAAAGCGTTTCCATTTGGCTAGGTAGGTCACCCTGGTGGAGGGCTTTCTGCTACCCAACAGGATGTGTTGGACTTGCACCAAACAGGCCCATTCCTCCGCATTCAACCATGACGTCAGATGTATGGATGCTAGATTTGGGTGAAGCAGATAGCCCTGGTTCTGTGAGAGCAAGTCTGGTTGGAGCGGGAGCTCTAACAGGGGCACTATCGAGAGGTCCAAAAGTGTACCAAACTGGTGCTGGCATGGCCACGCCGGAGTTACCAGGATGACCTTCGCTTTGTACCTCTTGACCTTCAGGAGGACCTTGTGAAACAGGACTATCGACGGGAAGGCATATAGCAGTGTTCCCGTCGATGGGAGCAGGATGGCATTGTACAGGGAGCCTCAGGCAAGCCCATGAATCGAGCAAAACTGCTGACATTTTCTGTTCTGCCTGGATGCAACTAAGTCCACCTGGGGAGACCTCCACCTCTGGGGGATCATGCTGACAACTTCTGGGTGGAGTGACCACTCGTGGCGAGAAGAGAAGGACCTGCTGAGGAGATCTGCCAGCGAATTCCAGGTGCCTGGAAGTGTGACACCTCAAGGTGAATAGCATGCTGCACACAGAAGTCCCACAACCAGACAGCCTCTTGACACAGGGCCGACGTGTGGGCTCCGCCTTGCTTGTTGATGTAGAACATCGCGGTCGTATTGTCCATCAAGATCTGCACCACTCTGCCCTTTAGATAGGGACAGAACGCCTGGCAGACCAAGCATATCACCCTGAGTTCCCTGACGTTATATGGGGGGACTGATCCTCCGGGAACCAGAGGCACTGGTACTGAGGTTGCCGAAGTGGGCTCCCCACTCCAGATCTGAAGCGTTGGAGACCACCATCACCGATGGGAGTGAGGCTACGAAGGGAACCCCTTTCAACACTGATTGCGGGTCCATCCACCAAGTCAGGGACAACAGGACATTCGATGGGACTGTGACCACTAAGTCCAAATTGTGTCTGCTGCAGGCGTAGACTGATACCAGTCACATCTGCAGGGGCCTGAGACACAGCCATGCATGCTGGACCATGTAAGTACATGTTGCCACGTGGCCTCCAGCCTGAGGCATACCCAGGCGGTTGTGAGCAGGTGGGCTCCGACGTGTGCGATGAGATCCGCCATAGCTTGGAGTCGGGACTCTGGTACGTAGGCTCTGGCCTGGGTAGAGATGAGCACTGCACCTAAAAATTCTATTATCTGAACTGAGGTCAGAGTTGATTTCGGTTTGTCTATAAGCAGGACCTGCTCTTGACAGGTGGCTCGTACTAAGGTGAGGCTGTGCTGGACCTGGGTTCGTGACCTGCCTCTGACAAGCCAGTCGCCAAGGTATGGATAGATCTATACACCTCGACATCTCAGGTAAGCTGCCATCATTGCCATGCATTTATGAAAACCCTCGGAACAGATAATAGGTCAAAGGGCAGTGCCGTGAATTGGTTGAGGCACTGGCCCACCACAAATCGGAGGAATCTCCTGTGTCTGTGGAAAATAGAAATATGGAAACAGGCGTCCTTCAAGTCGAGGGCGGCGTACCAGGCTCCTGGATCCAGAGAGGAGAGATGGAGGCCAGGGAGACCATGCGGAACTTCAATTTCTTGAGATATTTGTTAAGGTGACACAGATCTAAGATGGGCCTGAGGTCTCCTTTGGCCTTCGGAATTAGAAAATATCGGGAGTAAAACCCCTTCCCTCTCAGTTCTTGCGGAACATCCTCTATGTCTCTACAAGTAGGAGGGTTTCCACCTCCTGAACGAGAAGTTGCTCATGAGAAGAGTCCCTGAAAGGGATGGGGAAGGGGAGTAGGAGGGAGGGATGGAGAAAAACTGCAGGGTATAACCAGCTGTTATGGTGCTGAGCACCCATTGGGCAGTGATGCTTTTAAAATGTCAAAAGATAAATGTGTGCTCACCAAATCTGCACTGTACACTCACTGCAATAATGACAGGAACTGGCGGGAAATGGAGAGTTTTCACCTCACTGTTTGAGGCACCTATTCTATTTCTTATATTGCACTCGTCAGCACTGCGTCTTAACCTTCCAAAGAGAAATAAACAAGGGACTAACAACTCACCCAGGTGGCTCTCTCTCTGTTCCTCTCCCCAGGGGAATACTGGGGTGTTTAAAAAACAAACAAAAACCTGCCATGTTGTGTGCTGTTCTTAGGAAAGGCTGGTGAGAGAAGGGCATTTTGCACTTGAACTGGAAGATGCTGAGGTCAGATGTCATTCCTTGTTCCTGAGGCAGTGTGTTCCAAAGGCTCTGGCTAGCTCCAGCCAAAGCCCCACCTCCTGTGAACCACCTTCGCCTTTGAAATAGTCTATTCCATTGTTCCTGAGGAGCAAGTTGTTGGCAGCAGTGAAGGCCCCGAAATATGAAATGTCCTGGGCCCAGACCATTTAGTGCCTTGAAAATAAAGACTGAGACCTTAAACTTGACATGGTATTGTACAGGCAGCTGATGGAGTATCGGTGTGATGCTGCTGAGAAGACACGCTGCTGCTTTCTTCACAGGCTGTGGTTTTCTCAGGGAAAACACTTAGGCCTGGTCTACACTACGACTTTAATTCGGATTTAGCTGCGTTAATCCGAATTAATCCTTAACCCGTCCACACAACGGAGCCAGTTACTTCAAATTAAAGGGCACTTAAAATCGATTTCTGTACTCCACCCCGACGAGCGGAGTAGCACCAAAATCGATTTTGTTAATTCGAATTAGGGGTAGTGTGGCCGCACACCACCGAATTAATGTGGTTAAAATTAATGGGGTAGTGTGGCCGCACACCACCGAATTAATGTGGTTAAAAACCGAATTAATGTGCTTAGTGTGGCCGCGCACAATCGAATTTATACAATCTGTTTCCCAAATTCGAATTATCTAAATTCGAATTAATCTCGTAGTGTAGACGTACCCTAATTAGGCTGCTTTGTATTGCTGCAAGACCAGGCCCCTTTCACTTTGCAGAGGGCAGAGGCCCCTCCTGTGTCCCTACCTCAGTATGCACTGAAGGTAGTTCTCTTGCAGAATAGTCTCTCTTCCAGGTTCTTCTGCCCACCCAGCTGCCCTTTTCAGGGAACCCATTTTGCAGGACTCAGCCTTCTCCCTCACTGCATCATAGCAATGTTTAGAGGATCAAAGTCAGTCTGAGAGGGGTTAAATCAGGTCCCAAATCAGGAGCAAGGTGGTTAAAGAGAGGAAATTCATGAGACTTTGAAGCAAGTGTGCAAGAGAAGGCAGAAGAAGGAATTGAAGCTCCAGATGAAAGGCCGTTGGCTCAGGCAGTCTATTTCAGATGGGGAATGACTTGTGGCAGGCAGGCACCAGATGGTGCATGGAAGAAAGGGTAGTTTGTATGCAAATGAAAGGGAAAAGAAGCCATTGTGTATAGCTCCTGTCGGAGGGAGCCCAGGACAGATCCTGCACGGCAGATGATTACCAGGGCACAGAGGATAAGATCTTGCCTTCCTAGGCTGCCCTCTTAAGGTACAATTACCCTGCAGTGGGGAGCATGCTGCCCAGCCCAGGAAGACAGACTCAAGCTAACACATTAGAAATAGCAGTGCGGAGGCTGTGGCACTGGCGCAGCTCAGGTTAGCTACCTGAGCTCGGACCAAGGGGCTCGGACCCAGCTACAGTGTAGACATACCCATTGAGTCACAGAACTAAAGATAGAAAAGACCCGTTAGGTCCTCTCTAGTTCACGCCCCAAAGAACCAAAGCAGAGTTGTTCCCTAGGGTGTTTTACTAGTGCATGTAATGTCGCTATCTGTATAAATGCACAAGGCGCTATAGTAAACAAACTCTCTCCCTGAGGTATTTGCTGACTGCTAGCCTATTTCCCCTTCATTGTCACTTAGCCAAGCTACAGAAATAGCCAAGCTCCTTTAATCTTCCTCATGAGTCAATCCTGGGGGCAGGGCCCATGCCATGTTTTGCTGCTTTCTCTCCAATTTGTCAGCACCTGCCCAGCCCCAAGGTGCTCAGTTCTGAGCACAGCATTGCAGGTGAGGCTACATCAGAGCCCTAAGGAGAGGGCTGGTACCCTCCTGCCCCTGTTCCGTGAGGCCTCTGCTATGCAGTACAAAACTGCATCTGCCTCTTCAGCGGTTGTACCCCCTGGTAAGCTCTCGCCCTCTCTCAGCCATGGCCGCTCCCCAGGTTTCTCCCCTCTCTGAGGATCTGGGCTGCAGAGAGAGACACTGGCTCCCCTGTTGTCTCTAACATCTCTCGGCTCCTCAGGGTTATTCCTCTCCCCTCACTGGCATTTTTAGCTCCACTCAGTTTGGCTTCAGCTGCGTATTTCACTAATGTGCTGCTTACACCCTCCCTCGCCTAGGCCACTAGTGAAGATGGTAAGTTGGGTCCAATTAGGCAGCTGGTGAGCTGTGAGTGCTGCTTATCATGCTGATTTGTGTTATCGCCTTATTTCCTTGTGCTCCCCCGTCTACTGTAACCACGTCATCTCTTGAGCTACATCCACACTTCCCAGCTCACGCAGACATACTGGTGCCAGCTCTCACTGACCCAGCCCTCTACAAATAGTGTAGTCGCAGTGCCGGTCCCCAGAACATACTCCTGCAGCCCAGACGTGGGTGTGCTCAGGGCACCCTCCCACTGCTGCTCATGCTACAGTGGTGACACTGCTATTCTTAGTGCACTAGCTGGATGAGCGCTAGTGTTTGAGCTGGGAACCACACCCCAGCTCCACGTATAGACACAATCGTATTTTACACTTAACATGTGAGCTTTTCACGGCTGGGACTGTCTCTTTGTACAGCACCCAGCAGAGCGGTGCCCTGACCTGTGGCAGGGCTCCTACATGTTACCACAACACAAGTCAATGAATAATAATAATACATAAAGGTCTCACATTGACCCCTGCCATACTCCCAAGCATCTCCCCCAGCTCCACAATTGGATTTTTATCATTACACACTGTTTAAAATCTTTTATGAGAAAAGAAATCAGTAGTTGATGAAACAATCCCCCAGGACCTGCCTACACGAGCGTAAAACGGGCTTTTTCAGCCAAGTCAGCATAACCTGACTGAGACATACACGCCCTTTAACACGACCCATTCAAATGATCCTAAAGATGTTAAATTGTGTCCACATGGGTATAAAGGGAGGGGGGTGGGTTCAACCCAGTGAAGCTAACTTGATTGAAAACCCCTTTTTCATAGAATCATAGAATATCAGGGTTGGAAGGGACCTCAGGAGGTCATCTAGTCCAACCCCCTGCTCAAAGCAGGATCAATCCCCAACTAAATCTTTTCCACCTTG